CCCCCCCCCCCCCCCCCCCCCCCCCCTGTTGATGACGACCACGGCAAACGCTTAAAGGACTAAAATTTGAGGGCATGCACCTGGAATGCCCGGGCCTCTGCACGGCTTGTTGATGTCCTCGTAAGGACAAAAGCTGACATCACCGCCATCCAAGAAATGCGTTGCACGGGGCAAGGTCAGCAATGTCTGGGGCCTTGCGACGTCTACTATAGCTGCCATGTAGAGGAGCGCAAATTCGGAGTTTGATTTGTGGTGGGAGAGAGACTCCGTCGCCGAGTATTGTCGTTCACCCCGGTGGACGAGCGTTTAGCCACAATCCGCATCAATGCGATATTCTTCAACATCTCGCCGACGGGAGAGAAGGATAAGGTATCCAAGGATCTCTTCTATGAGCGCTTGGAGCGCACGTACGAGCGCTGCCCCCATCATGATATCAAAATCGTGCTTGGCGACTTCATTGCCAGGGTGCGAAAGGAAGGGATCTTTGGAACCACCGTCGGAAAATTCAGCCTCCACGACAAAACGTCCGACAACGGATTGAGGCTGATCGACTTCGCCGGGGCCCGAAACATGGTAGTATGCAGTACCAGGTTCAAGCATAAAAAGTTCCATCAAGCTACGTGGCTGTGTCCGGATCAAAAAACGAGAAACCAAATCGATCATGTTGTGATAGACGGAAGGCACGCTTCCGGTGTTTTAGACGTACGCTCACTCCGGGGCCCAAACATCGACTCGAACCACACTATCTTTTTGCAGCCTCTGTGTCCCAAAAAATGTGCGCCCAAATATGCAAGGAAAGCTTAACGTCGAAAAGCTGCAGTCACAACAGACAGCCAGTGCTTTCGCTACTCGACTCTCACACTTGCTCTCAGAGAGCACTCTTCAACAAACCGACATATGCGAGCAGTGGAACCACATTTCCCGCTCATTAAGTACCGGCGCCGAAAAAGTAGCTTGATATGCTGGCGGACAAGAAGAATGCCCGAAAATTTTACCAGAGAGTTAGGCGACCTACGGAAGGTTTCAAGACCAAGGCGTACTCCTGTAAGAACAATAATGGCGACCTAGTAACCGATGTCCAGAGCGTACTTAAATTATGGAGGGAACACTTTTCCGCCCTACTAAATGTTAGCAGCACCGAAAGTTAAGGAGAAGAAGAACCCCAGCATGTAGTCGATGATGACGGAGTCGACGCTCCACCGCCTGACTATGACGAGGTACTTATAGCAGTAACGCGGCTGAACAGACTGCCAGCTGACCTATTCAAGTACGGCGGCGAGGAGTTAATAAGGTGCATGCATCAACTCTTGTGCAGAATATGGTCAGATGAACGCATGCCCGACGACTGGTTTTTAAGTATGCCCCACCATTCGCGCCAACTACCGCAGGATCAGCCTTCTAAGCATAGGTTACAAGGTCTTATGGAGCGTATTGTGTGAAAGACTGGACCTAATCTGTGTGGCTTTAGACCTGGCAAATCCACCATAGACCAGGTATTCCCAATACGCCAAATCTTGGAAAAGATCCGGGAGAAAAGGATCGACATTCACCACCTATTTGTCGACTTTAAAGCCGCTTTTGACAGCACTAAAAGGAGTGTATAGGCAACTCCTTTTAGTGCTGTCAAAAGCCACTATGTCTGAATTTGGCATCCCCTCAAAACTCATACGGCTATGTAAAATGACGTTTAGCAATACCACCAGCTCCGTCAGACTTGGGAAAGACCTCTCCGAGCCGTTCGCCACCAAACGGGGTTTCAGACAGGGCGACTCCCTTTCATGTGACTTCTTTAATCTGATGTTGTAGAACTGAACCGCTCAGGAACAATTTACTACAAGAGCGTGCAATTGCTGGCTTATGCCGATGACATCGACATCATCGGTAACAAAAACCGCTAAGTCTGTTCTGCCTTTTCCAAGTTGGATAGGGAAGCAAAGCGAATGGGTCTGGTGGTAAACGAGGACAAGACGAAGTATCTCCTGTCATCAAACAAACAGTCAGCACATTCGCGCTGACAAGACGAAGTATCTCCTGTCATCAAACAAATAGTCAGCACATTCGCGCTGACACGACGAAGTATCTTCTGTCATCAAACAAACAGTCAACACATAGGCGCGACGCCACTGTTGACAATTATAATTTGGAGAAAGTAGAGAATTTCGTTTACTTGGGAACCAGCATTAACACCGATAATAATGTCAGCATGGAAATCCAACGCAGAATCACTCTTGTCAACAAGTGCTACTTTGGACTGGGTAGGAAATTCAGGATTAAGGTCCTCTCTCAGCATACAAAAACCACACCCTATAATTCACTTATAACGCCCGTGCTGGTATATAACGCAGAAGCATGGGCAATGACAACATCCGATGAGGCGGCTCTTGGAGTATTCGAGAGAAAGATTTGCGGAAGATTTACGGGCCTTTACGAGTTGGCGACGGCGAGCACCGCAGACGATGGAACGATGAGCTTTATAGGCCCGTCAGAATGGGTACTTGTACGTCAGTACCGGAAAAGTATGCGAAGGAAGTGGCGTACGTCACGTAGAGATACGCCACTTGAGGTATTGCGTTTGTAAACAAAAATCAGCTGTTCTTTATTACCGCCAAATTTTTCGCTGCGAATAAATCTAAAAATTTTTATTTGTTATTATCAAAATAATAAATAAACTTTGAAAATGGAAGCTATTGAAGTAATTTTAATTACATTAATATTGTTGGAAGCCATGGAGTGCTTCAAACGTTTGTATGGCAATCGGAGATGGTGGGTACGACCAGATCTACGAGATCGTGAAGCAAATGGTTTCTTTGCCACGCACTTTTCCTTCCCACAGGAGTTTAAAAATACTGTTAGGATGGAGAAGAAAGTATTCGACCTGCTCCTTAATTTGATCCGAGAAAAACTTACTAAAAACTCGAATCGACCGTCTATTTCTCCCGAATGCCGGCTTTATTTGGCCCTGTGGTAAGTTGTATATTGCTCACATCTCACACATAGTAAAAATATAAGTAATAATGTGGGTTTAATTTATTCTTAGTTATTTGGCTCATGGTGGAGGTAAGCCTTTTTACGCCTCTTCATTCAAGGTCGGACTCTCCTCAATGAAGGAAATAGTTGGAGAAACGTGCGACGCACTGTGGGAAGTGCTTGGTCCCGTGTATGTCTCATTACCACAGAATGATGAGTGGAAACGAATCGCCATTGATTTTTATACAATGTGGGATTTGCCGAACTGCGTCGGGGCAATTGACGGCAAACATATAAACGTATTTTGTCCGTCAAACTCTGGCTCTCTCTTCTACAACTACAAGGGAAATTATTCCATAGTTTTACTTGCAGTATGCGACGCCAATTATACATTTACTGGAATCGATATTGGCGCTTACGGTTCCCAAAGCGATGGCGGTGTCCTATGGAATTCGGGCTTCGGCAAAAACCTTTACTCTGGATCTGCCTGAAAATGATGTTCTACCAGGTACAAACAATTGTTTTCCCCATTACTTTGTTGGCGATAATGCGTTTCCGTTGAAACCATTTTTGATGAGACCGTTTCCAGGTTTGTAAGAAGTGATTATATTTTTGTCTTTCGCTGTTAACACGTTTATTTCTTTTAGGAACAAACTTACCACCAGCAAGGCAAATTTTTAACCAACGATTGTCCCGGGCTCGTTGGGTCATCGAAAACGAGTTTGGAATTTTGGCGTGCCGGTGAAGAATATTATTAAGTCCACTATAAATGAGCCCCGCTTCTACCGAGAAGATAGTGAAGGCCACTGTCGTGTTGCACAACTATGTAAAAATGCCCGATGGTAGCTATTGTCCCCCTGAAGCAATTGATCAAGAAATCAATGGCGAAGTGAGAAGGGGCTTATGGCGAAATGAAATTCCTGCCCCCTTACAGAATGCTAGGCGCATGGGCTCAAACAACGCTTCCCACAATGCTTTTAAATTGAGGGATGAATTAAAAGATTATTTAGTATCTCACCCCCGAATAACCCAGTAAAGAAGAGTACATGCAAGTACATGTAGTGCAAATAATTAAAATAAATAATTACTTTTAATTCTATAATTCTGAAAGATATTTTAATTCTCTATTTTTGATATTAACTAATTCAAAAGGTGAAGTAATAACGAAGTTATTAGTCAAACTAAAAAGTTCACGTTCACGCTCGCAATGAGCTGTATAGCGGGCTTAAAAATATTAACTATCATACAGTGGCCGGAAATATTATGGCCGCACCACGTATTGACAAGTTTTCACATTTTTGTTACTTAATTTTACTTGTTTTTTTTTATAACAAGGCTTTTATTAAAGAATTCTACAGTTTTTCTAAAAATTAACTAAAACTAAAAAAAAAACCAAAATACTCCTAAAAACTTGTCAATATATGGTGCGGTTATAATCTTTTCGACTACTGTATATTAGATATCCACAATTTCGAGCTTAGTAATCCAAATTTTTAAAAAAGTAAGTAATTTTATTTTATTTAAGTAATTCAATTTTTTAATACAGTTCATAACTTTACATTTGGTTTTGTTCTTTCTTATTCAGTTTATACATTTCATTACAACAGTTCATGTATATACACCTGCGTTCAACTAATTAGAAACGAAATTCAAAATGATATTGTTTGCAAATTGTTTATTTTTATTTTTAATAATACTCATTTAAAATATATTTCAATCTGTAACTGACACCACAATAAAAAAAGTTTGATAAATTTTTTTGCAAGTTTCGCAAGCTTTGAAACTTTTATTATTGTGGTTTCTGTTACAGATTGAATTATATTTTAAATGAAAATGATTAAAAATAAAAAAATAAACAATTTGCAAACAATATCATTTTGAATTTCGTTTCTAATTAGTTGAACGCAAATGTATGTACATGTACATATACTATATACATACTTGTACATATATATATATATGTATATATACAGTGCCGCGCAAAATTATTGACACAGAATTTTTGAAAATGTATGCAAAATTGTTTACTCTTTATTTTTTCTGCTATTTGTTTAAAAAAATACTGTTTATACTGCAACAAAAAAAATAAAACTGAAATCTCTAAACTTTGTGCTAAACGAAGGAAAATTCGGTAAATTTGCATACATATTTTGCAAGTTTTAACCAAAGTATACAGTTTTATAGCCCATTCAATTTTAGTATACAAAGTGCAAAAATCAAAGCGATTTCTTAGCAACTGTCTGCTGCGTCTGCTCAATTACGGGCTCTTCATCGTAGGAATATTCGAAAAGAGGTTGCGACTCATATACATTAATGGATTGCTCAGGCTGCGATGTACATTTTTCAAGATTTATGTTGGTACCAAACGTTGTGTTGCCAAACGTCCTTAAATAATATATATACATCTATATAAGTGGACTTTTCGGCAATTGAAACTAATTTTTAATTTTGTCTTAAAAAAGCTTAAAGTTCCAAAATATGTCTATTCTTTTAGGCGAGCATGCGGTGTAACCTCGTAATACTCTATTAAGTATTCGGGACTATTCGCTGTAACCATCGCAGTCCGATTTTTGCGAAACTACGAAAATGTAACACTGAATCTCAATTCCCCGGAACGTATACATTCAAAGTATAGGCTACGGTCGTAGCCATGTATGTAAGTACATACATATGTATCCGCATTCAGTGATAGCACTTTTGAAGATTTCACGAAAGAAGCTGACTAAAGTGGATTCAATGATAGCAATGGTTGCATAAATTACTTGCGTGGTGCAACGTGCCGTTGCAGAAATGCCAATGCCTCGTAATATTTCCATCCACTACCGTCCTTGTCGTTTGCAGCACTCCCAGAAGGCGCCTTTCTTCCGCTTTCTTCCTTTACAAATCGGTCGCGAAGGGACCTCCAGCGACTCTGACACTGTTCCACTGCCGATAAATTTTTGAAAACATTGGAAAACACAAGGTACGGGAAATGTTTAGTTATTTGTACAACGATTTTGGGGTGGAGGTCGGAGGGGAAGGCGGTGTGTGTGCGAAATTAGCATATTTTAAACCGCACAGCAACCCAAAGTCGTTGAACAAACAATTAAACCGTACCCGAATCGCCGCTTACCACTGCAACCTGTGGCGGCCGCCACATAATTCCACGCTTAAAAAAAATTAAAAGAAAACGGCGCTAATGAAACTCAAATGTCAAATGTCAGCATTGCCGGACTTACTTGCGTCAAAAGTTGAGAGTTGGCCAACGTTCGTTGAGTCCGTCGACGCAAGGGTTGCCAATCTGGCGCTCTCTATGCAAACACACACAGTCTACTCAACTGTCAGTTTCATCCTTGAGCGGAACGTACGCAAAGTACCCATTCTGACGGGCCTATTACAACGACATGGACATAGTGCATCGAATTAAAATAGAGCGGCTCCGCTGGCTGGGCCTTGTCGTTCGAATGTACACCGACGCTTCAGCTCAGAAAGTATTCAACTCGGACCCGCTGGTGGTAGCAGAGCAAGAGGGAGGCCCCCACTGAAATGGAAAGACCAGGTGGAAAAGGATTTGGCTTCACTTGGCAATTCTAAATGGCGTCAGTTGGCACAGAAAAGAAAGGACTGGCGTGCTTTGTTGAACTCGGCCAAAATCTCTTAGGCGGTTACAGCGCCAAATAACAAGAAGAAGAAGATATACACATATGGACTGCTGAGTGGAAGATCGACCTATTTCGGCTGCTGGTTCGAAAACGTCCTATTAGAAAACTTTTCGAGAACGTCCTACTTCAGAAATTGGTTGAAGAACGCCCTGTTTCAGAACTTGGTTCAAAATTCCCTGTTAGAATGTAACCCTGCTTTATGCTACATGAAAACACAGCAACCCAGTCCTGCGTCGTTGTACCATACAGACAGCTACATGTTGTGAGACCGTACGATGACACACACCACCGGGCTGTCACTTCAACAAAGTTGTTGTTGTCTATCCTTCTTCGTTTCATCAACATCTGGGAAAGTAAGTCGATTCTCTACAGCAAACTACTCTTTAAAATAAAGAATATTTAGGACCAATTTTTGAGGGCGTTTCATTTCGTTTTACATTTTGGCATCCCTTGCAAGGAAACGTCCCAATATTGTACGAAACACTCAGCTTCTTTTACTAGTTTTGCGATCAGTGAGCTGCACCCCGGTTTGTTGCTAAAACGCAACGTGAGAAGAACGTGGATAACCTTAACAAGCGAACTAAGTTAAATTGCACTGGCATGGAAGGCGAGAAAGAAGAGAGCCTGGCTAAGCTCATTACTAACTTTTCGGCAAATACACGAAAAACCGCGAAGCAGAAACAAACCCGGGGTTACTTGATAGCTCGTAAACGACTCCTAGATTATTATTGGGCCAAATTTACCGCGGCACGCGAGGAAGCTTTGCAATTAGCCATAGCATCGAAAGACACCGCGTCTAAAGCTAAGTGTACACGGTAGAGAAAAAACGCGAGATTTAGACAAAAATCTCGCTAGAGACGTGTAAACACTCAATAGAGCTCTACGAGAAACTCACCTACAAAGTCTATGTGAGAGTTATTTAGCGAGACTTTTTCGCCGTGTACACAGTCCAACGAAGCTAGATCGAAAACTCTACGACAACTCTACGCTCTATTTAGCAAGCTAAATAGACTTTTTGCTCTACGGAGACGTATAGTAAAGTCTTGACAATGAACTTCATTACAGATTGTTAAATTTTGAAATGGCTATGACATTAAATCGTATATTCGATACAAGCACACAATTTTAAGTGCAATTAGAACGTAGCCAAATAATGTACCGGGAATCATCCTCTTATTTTCATTGGTATTTCAATGGCTTTTCCAATAGCCTCCGTCCTTTGCAAAGGGGCATAATTATTGGTTAAAACATAAGGGGTATTCACAAATTGAGCAGGTGGTCTGGCACTCTGGCAATAGTCGTTGCTTGAGTTATCTGCTGTTTTGTCAGAGTGCCAGGCCACTTGCTCAACTTGGTGAATAACTACATACATATATATAGTAGCAAGGCGAATTTATACAAGGTGGTGTTGATGGCGAATTTAGATTTTCGTCGAGGTACGTCTTAATGTCAAAATGATGTGTTTGTTGTAAAATTAATTCGCCTTGTTTACAACAAACACATCATTTTGACATTCAGTAGTACCGCGGCGAAAATTTAATTCGTCATCAACACCACCTTGTATAAATTCGCCTTGTATAGTAGTTTGGCTGGAACTGCTCGGAGAAACTCCTTTCAAGGGAATTTTAAATATTAAAGGTTGTTTGATGCGAGTCCAAAAGTGCACATTGTACCGAAGGGAGAGGTTGCCATGTTAAATTTTTAGGTACATTTGTCTACTTTTAGGTAAAATTTTTTTCGGCAAATAAGTACAATTTCAAAATTTAATTATTGTTCATATTGCGAAAATGTATTTTATAACGTCAGAAAATTGGTGAATGCTGTCAACTCGACGAAGGGTTAGCGCTCCGCTGATGGCGCCAACTATATTTTCTACATCGTGGCTTTGATATAAATACATATATATGTACATACAACAAGCGTTGACAACAATTCGAGATAGAAAACTAACTCTAGGCGAGAGGTAAATATTGTCTACCGTGTACACAGCTTGTAGAGTACGTGATAGATAAAAGTTGAGATTTCTCTATTTTGTCTCTAGCTAGAGGGAATATCTCCTAGAGTTGCTCTACCGTGTAAACTTAATTGAGAGAGGAGATTTTTATTTCAGTGAAACTCTCGAGAGATTTCTCTACCGTGTACGCTTAGCTTAAGACACAGTTGGATGATAGCCGTTTTGCAGAAATCGAAGGCGCCTATTGTGAGGCATTAGGGGAGTTGGAAGACGCACTCTATAATCAGGCACCAAGTCCATCAGGGACGACTGAAAGCGTATCCACAAAGACAACAATGAAGCTACCGAAAATCGAGCTGCCAAAGTTCGACGGAACTTTTGGAACATGGTTATCTTTCAAGGACACGTTCTCCACGTGTGTTATTAATGGCGTGACCTTATCCGATGTCCAGCGATTGCATTATTTGAAAGGCTGCCTATCAGGAGACGCCGAAGTGCTCCTCCGAAATTTGCTAGTTATTGACAGCAATTTCAAAGTTGCCTGGGATATACTTCAGCAAAGGTACGATAACAAAATACGACTTCTGCGCGCCTACTTGCACAACATCGTGAAACTTCCTAGCGCGTCAGCTGAATGCTCAACAGCAATACAGAAGCTTATGGACGGGGTCACAGAGTCCGAGCGTGCACTGACGAAGCTTGGTAGACCCACGGAGAAGTGGGATGATTGGCTTGTGTATCTGATCACCGAAAAGCTAGATACAGAAACTCTTAAGCAATGGGAGTTGTCCCTAGACTCTCCCAACCACATCCCAATATATAAACAATTAGTACAGTTCTTAGAGAAGCGCATTGTGGGTTTAGAAGCAGTCCTAAGCCAGTGCGCCATCAATCCATCCGCTGCCATCAAGCCAATTATCTACCATGCCCCTGCTGTGCAGGAAAGCACATACTGAAGTTCTGCTCAAAGTTTAAGGCCCAATCTCCAACTCATAGATTACAAACAGTTAAGGCAAAGGGTCTATGCAAGAATTGCCTGAAGAGCGATCACATGCAAAACAGATGTCCGTCGTCGTTCTCATGCAAGCGAAGTAACTCAAAGCACCACACGATGCTTTATGATAGTGTCAAGAAGAGAACAGTCGACTCGGTTGCGTCAACCATGTGCGTGCCACTACACCCATTACGTGTACATCAACACAAAAGCATTCACGATCGTCAACACTACTTGCCACCGCCCAGCTGGGTGTTGTCTCTCCTTCTGGGCGCGCGTTCACACTCAGAGCTCTTCTTGATAGCGGCTCCCAAGACACATTTATCAGCGAATTCGCTGCTCAGCAATTGAGACTCTCGCGGCTTCTCATTCGAGTACCTGTTACTGGAGCCGGGGGAGCACAGGTTGGCAAATCCACCGGGACTGTTGACTTCATAATGCGCTCGCTTGTAAATAGTAAATTCTCGTTGAGCTGTTCAGCTCTAACTCTACCAAGTCTTGGTCACCTGTTGCCCACAACGCATGTTAAATACAATGTGCTCCAAGACTTCGCTGACCTGGAATTGGCAGAACCACTATCGACTTAATCCTGGGGGCAGATGTAAATAGCGTGTCGCTGATACCAGAGATCAAGCAATTGCCCGAATGCTCTGCCATCGCACGAAGAACCCATTTAGGATGGGTAATATTTGGAAAGGTGCCGAACCAAATAATCCCACTGGAGCGACCGACGGTCTGCGCTGCCACTTCCGCGAAGCTCAACGAGTTAGTTAAGCTAATGTGGCAATTCAACGAGCAAGATGATCTATCAGCGTCAGCCCCAATGAGTGAGGATGAAGCTGAATGTGAATCCTTTTTTGAGAGCACGGTTAAGCGCACAAATTGTGGTCGTTACATCATAAGATATCCTTTAAAAAATGGAGCCGATTTAAATAAACTAAAGAATTCGAAGAAGGGCGCGTTCCGGTTATTTAATTAGCAACTAAAACGCTTAGAAAAGGATCCGACGTTGAAACAACGGTATGAATCGTATATGGATGAGTACCTCCGCCTCGGGCACATGGGGCCTGTCTCCGAACGCTTTGGCCGCAACAATTTTGCTACATACCCCATCATGGGGTTTACAAAGAATCTAGTTCTACTACGGAGTTGAGAACAGTTGTCAATGCGTCGTATCGGAATAAGTCAGGAGTATCGTTGAATGATTGCTTGCATGTAGGCCCCAAACTGCAAAATAACCTGGCGTCGGTTATCCTGAAGTGGCGTACTTACCGTATAGGATTTATGACAGACATTGAGAAGTGCTATCGCCAAATATTGGTTGACCCTGAGGACACTGACTTACAGCGAATTGTATGGTTAAACGAGATGGGGGATCCGACGGTTTATCGTCTACGTACAGTCACTTATGGACTTAACTGTTCGCCATATCTTTTATTTATTTATTTATTTAGTCTAATAAACTTATAAAAGTTCCTTACAGACTAATAACAAAATTCAGCTTAGTTACTAAATAATAATAGATAAGAACTAGAAAATGGAATCCAAGGAGTTTTTAAAAACATCTAATGAAAATGCAAAAACGAATGAAACATTGTTCGAAATCATATTAAGTTCGTTTAAAGCTCGTGGAATAGGAGCATTACGGGAGTATTCAGTTTTGTACCTGCAATCTTACAATAAAAGTCCTCCAATCGTTGGCCAAAGATGAAGGTGATTCTTTCCCACAGGCAGCCCAAGTACTAAAGCATTCCTTTTACATGGACGATTGTCTGCACGGTGCGGATGACCCTGAAAGTGCGATACGTCTTCAAACGGAACTACAGCTCCTGCTGGAAAGAGGAGGGTTCACTTTGCGAAAGTGGAACTCGAACCCAATAGATTTCCTGCATAGCATCGAAGGTGAACAAGTTGATGACGAACATAGATGTAACTTCGATCAACATCAGGAAGTGAAAGCATTGGGTCTTTATTGGATCGCCTCGTCCGATGAGTTTATCTACAAGGTCAATATGACAGATCTATCTGGCCCTATTACCAAGCGTCAACAACTCGCGAATGTTGCTAAGATATATGACCCTCCTGGCTGGCTAACATCAGGTAAAATAGTCTGCCAACAATTGTGGGTCACTGGCTGCAACTGGGACGATGTCATTCCAGAACCTTATCAGACGCAGTGGAGAAATTTTCGAACGGAGCTACGAGAAGTAGAAGCCATTAAAGTGCCGAGATGGGTGCATACTGCGTGTATCAACTCCACGTTTTCGCGGATGCATCAGCGCTTGCTTATGCGTCGATAACATATCTCCGCGTCATTGCTGCCGACGAACCAGTGAAGGTGTCTATATTAATGGCCAAAATGAAGGTTGCTCCGCTGAAGAAATTAACTATACCTTTTCTGGAGTTAAATGGGGCAATGTTGGCTGCGAAACTTGCTTATAAAGTGCAGGAGTCTCTTAACCACCTGTCAATGCAAACCTTCTTTTAGTCTGACTCAACCCCGGCCCTTAGCTGGATTCGTTCAAATCCGGGAATACATAAACAATACATTGCAAACCGAGTAAAACAAATCAACAACTATCCAGCAGCGACCGATGGAGATATATACCAACGAAGTTACATCCGGCCGATATTGGTTCCCGGGGTATATCACCTTCTATGTGGTTCACATTGGAACCTTGGTGGATGGGACCGAGCTGGCTGTACCAAGATGAGCAGCAGTGGCCGACTCAACCCGCAAACCACAATCCCGTTCCCGAGCAGAAACCAATATGCTATACTACCACATTCAAGAAGGAGCCACCATTTTGCGATGCATTCTTGCTCAAGTATTCGCACATTAACACACTTCTTTCGGTCACAGCGTGGTGCCATCGTTTTTTTAATGTTATTATGAAGAAACCTCACGAAAGAACATCCTGGTGCACAAGCCAAGAAAGAAACAAGGCCATGAAGTTCTGGATAAGGTACGTACAACGTATTAATTTTTCTAACGAAATTTCGTCCTTACTTAAAGGAGAGCCGATACATGCGAAAAGCACACATTGTCAACTTAATCCCATGCTCGACGAAGAGAAAATACTACGAGTCCATGGGCGATTAAACCACTCATTTTTATCGTTTGAGGAGAAATTCCGAATTATACTTCCGAAGGAAAACCCATTCTGTCGGCTGATTCTAGCCCATGCGCATGAGTCCACCCTGCATGGCGGAACACAAGCGACGCTTAATCACATACGGCGACGGTATTAGATTATTGGTGCTCGCCCCGCTATTAGGAAATTAATTCACAACTCCGTTCGGTGCTTTCGACAGCGACCCAGACGAACGAATCCACTTATGGGTAGCTTGCCGGAGCACCACTGTACACCAGCCAACGCGTTCAGTCGATGTGGTATTGATTATGGCGGTCCTTATGGGATTCGTACTAGTAAAGGCAGAGGTCACCATCGCTAT